TTAGGTGGTAAATTTATGTAGAAACTTGTAATATTAAATAAAAAAGTAAAAATTTTAATAAGCCATAATTGAAATAGATTTTAAAGTTGGAAAAACAAATCAGTTTTTGTTGATACACGTAGAAAATTGTAGTATTTTTGGGGAAATTAAAAACAGATTCGGATTCAAAGTTCAATAGTTTTATGATACGTAGATTCTAATAAATTTCCATAGTCATTTATAAATAATTGTAGTATTCTACAAGTAAGTACATGTTTTAAGTACTTAAAATCTTGTTGTTTTTTCATTTTTAAAATTTGTAAATTTTTGTACTATTTTCTAAAAAATTGTGGATTTTCATGAAATATTACTTTTATCATTTCCTTGATTTTAGAAAATTGTAATTTGTGGTATTTTTGCGTAGATGTTTCTATCTTAAAATAAATATTTTTACAAAAAGAAACAAATTTTTACGAAATAATAAAAATTTCTACAAAATTTCTATTTTTGTAGTTTTTTGTAGTTATTCATCAAAATTTTTTCCGCCAGGGAAGAATTAAATAATATTCTACTTGTTTACATATTCTTCTTGATCAAATTATCCAGCTTTGAAATTGTTAGCGTTCGGAAAGATGCTAATAGTGCTATTTGAGTCGCTCTATTTTTATATTTTACATCTATTAAAAGATAAAGATAGATTAACACAAATAGCGCAAATAGTATTTTCTCTTGATGACACTGGTAATCCAATTGTCATGTTTATTCTGCTGTAAGAAAAGGAGAAAAATAAATCAAATATATAATACTAAGATTGGTATTTACAGTCGAATCTAACATTAAAAATCGTCCTAAATGAATTTGTGATGATAGTATTTACATTGTTGAGTATAAAATTATGACAGATGTTATAATGCAACTGATGCTCTATGCAAAAATATAATTATACAATTTTAATATCATTATATAAACTACTATATTAATCTGCATATTTATAGAGAAAATTTTTTTTACATTTCTGGATTTTTTGGAAAACGAAAAACTTTACTTCTGCATTTCGTCCAGATATGTTTTTACACATCACACAAGAAAATCCACCTTTACTCATTATTCTGGCTTAATAGATATTAGAAAAAAAACGCAATCAAATAATCTTTACAAATAATCTTTACTAATAATATTCCACTTTTGTAATATCACAGAATAACTAATCAAATAAAAATATAACCTTAATCTAAACATACATTTATTATTATGGCATCGCCATGTTTTAGATAGTACAGTTGACGCATGCGTCGTAAAGTATTGTACGAAGAATTTCGGCTACTGTCGTAACTGTGTATGGTTAAACTGTGTCGGCGCCGTGATTCTTCCCTCGATACGATCGTACGCCCCTGGGCTTTGCCCACGGTGGGGGCAAAAGGAGCGGAGGCAGAGGGTGTCGGTCGTCGGGTCGGCGCAGCGGCGAACAGTGGCGAGCGGACTCGTACGCCAGCTACGGGTCGAGGCGAGCTGGCGAAAGCGTCGCGAACGGGTTCGTGTCGGTCGTCGAGGAGCTCGAGAGACTCGCCAGAGACGTGGAGGAAGCAGCACCACCAAGAACATTCTGAATTGTTCTGGATCGCTGAAGGCATCTCGAGCGACAACGCCGTCGTGTTAAAAAAAAATTTTTTTTGTGAAGGCGCACAAAAACTCAGGCCTGGCGTGGCACAAAAACTCAGGTGGCAAAAGACTCCTCCGTGAAAATCATGGAAGGTCTTCTCCGTTTGTCGTGGGGTGGCTAGCATCGTTTCCTGGTGGAGCCTGGTCGGCTCAATAGTGCGATTCGGCGGGAACTTCGGAGGGCACCTCGCGACAGCATCCGGAGGGGCGGGTGCAAAACTATCGAGCGGCCCCGCGGAGATGCACGTGCGTCGCGACGCCCGCCGGGGGTAGGACGATCCGTCTCGCTCCGAAAAACAAACGTGACATGCCAACCTTGATAACGGTGGACGCGGGAAGAGCGACGGGAGCGAGGATTCCTCGTCGTCTAACAGCACCTACACGGTTTACTGTCTGCGAGCGATTTACGTGGTTTCCGTCGTGCAGACGCTAAACGTCGATATTCAGTCCTGCGAGTTTCGCAGTCATCTTCCTACGGTTGTTAAATCTGAACCGGATAAGGGTATATCGGTTCGATGCGTCGGCGTCGCGACGTCGGTGACGTCTGAAGAAACTTGGAATCGCTCTACTGCAGTCGCATCATCTCATCGATCTAGATATGACAACGCCGAATGCGACCCTAGTTGCAAGATTACGTGATCGCTCCCGGAGAAGCTGCAAATCACATTGAATCATACTGAGTGCTGCGCTCCAAGATGTAAATCTCTTCCGCGAAGTCTTCGAATCGCGCGACAGTCGTGCGACGCTTTTTCGTCAATCCGATGACGAGCACGAGGCGATTCCACGAGCTCCACGGGCGGAACGAAGCTCGTGCGGTGACCCCGTAAACATTCCGATCGCCGTCGAGATGTTACCGCCGAGCGTGATCGACGTGCAGAGCGCAATTCCGCGCGACGCGACGATAAACGGCCGCGGTCTGCTATCGGAGACGATGTGCGGCGCCGAGCTGCGCTCCGCCGAGGTCGCTCCGGCGACCTGCCACGTCGCGAGATACCGCGAGGAGTTCGACGAGACCATCCGCACCGTCTCCGAGCCGGAATGCTCGAAGCGGAGGATCGACTCGGCCGGGACCGGCAGCACCAGGTCGGTGCCGGACGGTCGGTCGCGTCAAGGCTTCTCCAAAGGCTCCGCCTCTCTGCAGAGCCTGGTGCGCCGAAGGAGCCGCAGGCACGGCACGTCCTTACCCTCGGAGGTCGAGTTGTCTTCGCGGCAGGTCGTCTACCCCGCCATCCCCACGGATCTCCTCAAGGACATCGGCGGCGGCGGCGGCAGCGGCGGCGGCGGCGGCGCGGCGATGTTCCGGAACGAAGAGGAGGCGCGGACCGCAACGCCGACCTCCACGCTCATCTACGCGACTTCCTCCGCGCAACCGTCGACCTCGAGGGCCGACAACAATTTGGCCCAGGACGTCTCCACGTCGGCCAGCAACGTCGCCACCACCACGGGCAGCAACGTCACCTCGACGACGAACGGCGGCCGCTTCGGCAACATCCCGGTCGCATTATCCAGGACGAACGGCGTCGTAAAACCGGGCCCCTCCACGTCCTCCTCCTGGAGCAACTCCGCCGAGCAGGAAAGTGACTACGTTGTCGATCCTGTGCAGGGGAACGCCTACTACAAGGGACAGTTTTTGGGAAAGGTACGAATTTCTTGGCATTTAATTTACCATTTACCGCTGACAAATTGCGGAGATTTAAGTAACGAGTATTTATAAATTCCCCCCCCCCCCCCTACACACGCGCGACGTCGACTCGACGGACGTGCGAGCGCACCTGTCGTTGGCTCGTGTTGCGCGTCGATCGTATTGTCGAGTAGGTCCCGTTTTTCGCCGGCGTGGAATGGCATCCCGCGACGAGTACGTGGGAATCGCGGGGTTACGGCTCGTTTAAAGCTGGTTGACCTTCCCCGGCGTTTGATACCGTTCCGTGTGTTGTTTCAACGCGCGCGCGGACGTCCGTCGTTTATGATGCTCTTTAAAACCTGTCGCCCGACAGTAAATCAGTCGGCGCGATTGCGGTCGTAATCCTCATTGTTTTTCGCCGACGTTTAAAGCGACGCCTGCCGCGGCTGATTACCGCTTACCGGAGAAAGAGAGAGCGTGTGAAGGGAAGGAGAAGCCGATCGCGTCGCGTCGCGTCGAATCAATCGGAGATGCGAGATGCGAATGCGATTATCCAGCAGCGATCATTCGTACATTTTTTTTTTAGCTCGATAATTCGCCGCCTCGCTATTATATTCTAATTTTCTATCACGAAAATCGCACGCATTCTTCACGCCGCGTTCCTCATAATGACGAGATATAAATCATCGTTATGCAAAATTCCGATTAAATCCGGTTGCACCGCGCGGCGCGCCGCGGCCGCGCGATCGCACGTACAGAGGCGGGAATTTAAGTGTTCGAGCGATTTAATTTCGCACAATCTGCAGCTGTACTAGGCCCAAGGCGCGAATAACTTCCTGGAGTAAATAACGCGTGACCGAGTTAATGCGAGATGAGTCTCGCGATTCCGGTGTCGGGTCGAGTCGCGGACGCGGGCGGGAAAAACTCGCTTGGGAGATCGCGACCCGCGCGGGATTAAAATTTTTCATTACACGGAAACGTGGGCGCAGCCCCGCTACGTAGAAATGGAGCGTGGGTGGTGAGTCACACGACGCCTCGTTTTCGCATACCGGGAATTCTGTCGGCGAAATACCGGCGACGTCGGCGACGACTTCGGCGAAAAACGATGATCCAACAAAGCGATCCTTTCTCTCTCTCTCTCTCTCTTTCTCTCTTTCTCTCTGGGCTCCGGGTTATCCGGAACGCCCAGATTAGATCGTAAACTTGCTCCGAAAACGGGGGACCGAAAGTACATCGCCGTTTCCGTTCGAGATTATCCTGCGCAAACGAGATATTGGACCACGTCGGATGCGTCTCTTTCTCTCTATCCTCTTCTCTGTTTACTCTGTTTACAGAATAGAACGTTTTTGCCAGCGAAACGCAAATATTCTACGCGATATCTTGAATTGTAAAATCCTCGAAAAGGGTGATTCTCACATTCTTTTTCTTTCCCTCTTTTTCTCTCTCTTCTTTCTCTCTTCTCCTCGTGGCACATCATGATGCAACCGTGGAACTCGCGCACGAAACGACGCGACGATTTCAGGACCGCGTGTAGCACAGTTCGTACGTGGCTGGCATAAAAATGAGACATTTAAAGCCCTCCGTCGGCCATCGACGGTCACCGATTCTTCTCTCCCGAAGACAGAGATGCGTCCGGTCGAGTCATTGACTTCTGCATCATGCATAATACATCGACGGTAGCCCGTCCAAGATCAACGACTTCGTCAAGGTCGAGTTTTCTAATCGCAGGGCGCTTTGTTTAAATCTTGCGGGGACAATTACGGACAGTGACGCGATATGAACCGTGTGTCTCTTGCAGGGAATCTGAAAATATATGTACATTGCAGCCGTCCTGATGCACATTGCACCGTCGGTTTCGAAGCATCCGATCACAATGCGGAACGAATATCAACGCCGGCAAACAGTTCTAATTGTAGACATCGAAAATTGTTAGCGATTGTTAGGGATAATTACAACAGCTGTGAATTACCAGCTACAAAGACCGATACAATTAATCTAACACATCGTCCATTAACGATGCTTTAACATGCAACATCGTTACAGCAATTAAATATCCATCAAAACGTATTAACGTTTATAATTAATCGCATTCCGTTAATCCAATTTTGACAAATGGAACTCATCAGTTTTTCTCATAATAAACATAATTCCGATCGTTGTAATTCTCAATCGTATAAGAAGCGTGCGTAGAAAACTTTTTCGATCCGTTACTATTGCGTGCAATCCCTAAGATCGTCGACAACCGAAATTTATTATCCACTGAATTTATTTCTTATTCATAAGACGGTTTACTTTACCTCACGTTCCGATTACGTAATTTACGTCATCTAATTTATTCTAACAGCTCGTGTTATTCGAACTTATTTGTGTTTCCTGTCCCTCCTGTTTTTTTTTAACATTTTTTGAAGTGTCGCTATTAATTATTTACTCATGTTAACTTTAATGCGTTATTTCTGTAGCAGAATAGCGAGAGGAATTTGTGAAATTAAGAAAGAACGAAAAGAGGGCCCGCGAATAAATTGCAGGGCGGACAGAATGCATTTTTTATTCGAATCTCTAATCGAGAACGATGTCGTCGCGTTGTCGGGTGTATATGTATCCTGTACGTGCGTACTTCGCATCGCCCGAAGCAGGAAGTCCGCATGTTATCTGATTATCATTACACCGAGTAAACTCCATTCGGCCAGCACACCCTGGACACACCCGGAGGCGGTCTCTCGTTACGTCGATCTCGTTGCCTCGAACTTTACCCGCGCGCCTCGGCGCCACGATCTTCGTCCAATCTCCGCTTAATCGCGACTTCCCGATCTTCACGGTACTTCGTTTTACGCGGACGCGGAAAACGCCGAGCCTATCGGCGGCGCATCGATGCGGATCGACCCGCTATCGATCCAGCGGTTCGTACAGGAAATATCGCGCGTTCACGCGACTCGCGATCGCGACCCGAGCCAATCCGCGGGAAACTCGATCGGCCCGTAGATCAGCGAGGAGAGTAATAATCCCCTCGGTGACATCAATTTCACACAGCGACGGCGTCTCGTCGCCGTCGAAAAATCGCGCCGCGAGATACGATCTTGCGCCGCAAATCAAGCGGATAGCGTTTTAGCTATTCGTTTTAGCTATATATATGCGCGAGAAATATTTTGCGACGATCGATCGGTTCGCGAGAAAGGCTACGTCTTGTGCGGCACCCTACGTCATTTTCGAAACATGCCGTTTGGGTGTTCCCGAATTGCAAACCGAAACGGACCGGAGACGCGTTTCGCGTCGATCGGGCGATTTGGCATAAAAAATATTTCGCATCTTTCGACTTACTTGACCTCGACCAACGAAGATCACTTCCGCAGATGTCACTCGGGATAATGTTAAATTGCAGCCCCGAAAAAACAAGCCGGAGCCGCTGTCGATCGGCGAGAGGAAATATTTCACGTCTCCTCCGCGCGGCGAGATCGATCGCGATCCACGTAAGGCCCGTAGCGACTCGCCTCCTCGCGAGCGCGAGGCCTCCGTCCGCCGGCGGATAATTTCAGAGGATGCAGTCTCAAACCGTGTGTATCCTCTTGCTCTCCGAGAAAACCGGTCGTCGTTTCGTCATCCCGATTATTCGTACCCGGTCGCTCGGGCGTTACCCTGCGCGCGCGCGCACGTCTCGTATCTCGTGTTAGAAATCGGGCTTTCCGTTATGCGCGCCGCGCGCGCGGCCGATACTTTATCAAAACTCACCTCTGATATTTCCGTATTCCACCGAGGCACCCGCTTCGGCGCTATCTCGATTATTCGCAACCGGTTGCCGGTTTCTACGTTTGCACTTTGGGTTGTGCGGAGGCGCACGCGCGCGCGCAGGTAGTTCTCGATCCGTGCAGTCGCCGCAAAAAGCGCACGGGTAACACCAAATGAAGCTTCGTCGACGACATTCTTTTATGTTCATCTCACAATATATATTAGATGCTTAATATCTTTTTATTGTAATATTTTTTTCGCAATAATTTTTATCGTTTATTTTATTCCTATATAGCTATTATATATAAAATTAAGAAAAATTTCACTTGCGTATGAGAGAACACTACACTAACTACATGTTTGCTATCAATCACAAATAGACGAGATGTAACGGTTATAAACGGTACCGTCGGCAACACATCGAAGCGCCGGTAATGGCCCATTAGTCGCGTTCAAATACATCAGATAGGCATTTACGTGGACGAGCGAGTCCGGTGCGCGATTTCTTTCGAACGTCGACGAAGGTGCGAACGCTTTTTATTGTGTAACATCGTTGCCTCGATCATTCACGACCGGTTACCGCCTTTCTTCGTCCCGCAGTTTAGAGGAGAAGCGCTAACGCAGGAGCTTATCTATATACCGCCGCTTATACTTAGGCCGATACTTCTCTCTGTCTCTCTTTCTCTCTCTCTTTCTTTCTTTTTTCTCTCTCTCTCCCGTACACGTGTCGTAGACTCATCCGCGATTTGTCTCTCGTTTCTCGTGAACAATGTTCGCCTGCGAGCGATGAAGAACTTACGCGTCCGGTTTCGATCCTCGGCGCGCGATAGCGCGGCGTACACCGTGTCGGGAAGATCTCTTACAACCGTGGCATTTATTATCAATTCTCCGGAGTACGTGGAAAACGGGGGCTGAAAATTTTCGGATTTTCGATCCTCCCAATGTTCGACCTTTCCCCCCCCGAGAGAGGAGTAATTTCCAACTTTGTATGCGCGGTCACGGAATTATCGAAACCTTCCGCGACGAAAGTTCGTCCGGTACGTACTCTCATTCCAGCGTAGCGTAATTCTGCGACCGCGGGGACGATCGTTCCGTTCCGGCACGGATCGTGAGAAATAACGAGTGACGATTCTATTCGCTTCGCGAAATCCTTGAACCGTGAAGAATGCGACAGAAGGGGCGCGCGAAGCTACAGTTTTTCCACAGGGAGGCACCGTCGTGACGAATTACAGTGCGCGACGCGGAGCGGATCGTCGCTCTTATCTACACGCGTTTGGCTTCCAAAGCACTTGCATTAC